GATTTATTTATCTTCTATAATTGAAATTTTGTAGCCTTAAGTGGAGGCCTGAGCCGGCCAGGGTGTGTGTGCGGAAAGCTTGGCTTCCTTCATCGCTGGGGAAACCCAAACCTTTCTCCTGCTCTCTCCTTGGCTGCATGATTTGGAAAACATCTTGGATTATTTTGCATACTCGCTCCTGATTGGCTTGTGGAGTAGCGGGGTGATGGTTAATTTGCGTATTGCTCTTTTATTAAATAGGATGGTTATATTGCTTTTGAATAAACATGAATATTGCCTATTGCCAACTGATGTATCTATTGTTTATTTTTCTTGCCTTTTTCCACAATCTAGGACTTTCAGGTAAATAGAAATTTGAGCTGGTTCTTTTTTTTTTTTTTTTTTTTTTTTTTTTACTTAATTTAAAATTAAATATTTTGGGATAACATTGGTTGATAACATCATACAAGTTTCTATTGTTCAATTCCATAATACATTGCCTGCATATAGCATTGTGTGTTCACTGCCCAAAGTCTTCTTCTATCACCTATTTTTTAAAAATATTTTTTATTGATTTCAGAGAGGAAGGGAGAGGGAGAAAGATAGTACTTAGAGTGTCATCATATCTGAGCCTGGCATTTTCTTTGTGGGAAAGTTTTAAACTACAAATTAAATCCCTTTAATAGATACACACCTATTCAGTTTATCCATCTCCTCCCGAGTGAACTTTGTTAGGCTGGGTGTTACAAGGAGTTTGTTTTTATTTTCTGTTTTTTTTTTGTTGTTGTTGTTGTTTTTTGTTTTTTGTTTTTTGTTTTCATTTTATTTAGGTTGTCAAGCTTATTAGCACAAAATTGTCACATTTACTTATTTTCCTTTTAATGTCTGTGAGATCTGTACTGAATCTCCAAATACCTTTTATCATCATTTTAGAATGTACTCTTTCTGTTTCATGACCATATGCCATGTTACACTGGCAGCAGCCTTGTGAATCTCATTTTACTGCATCTCACAGTTGAAGCATTTTCTCTGGTGCTTGATTTAATCTTATTATTTTATAAATTTAGCATATTCTACCGTACTTTACAGTAATGGCTTAGTCTTTACACTCACTCCTCCTCACTCCCTGACTCATCTAGTCCTGCAAACTTCACCCATGGTAAGCACGCTATACAGGTGTACACTTTTATTTTTTAACACCATATTTTTGGCTGTACTTTGTCTATATTTAGACACACAAATACCATTGTGTTATAATTGCCTACAGTGTTCAGTAACATACAGCATAGGTTTGTAGCTCAGAAGCAATAGGCTAAACCACACAGCCTACATGTGCAGTGGGCTACACCATCTGGGCCTGTAGAGTTACACTACATGATATTCAGTGACAAACCCACCTAATGCCACACATTTCTCATAACACATCCCTGTAGTTAAGTGTGTGCGACTATATCTCCTATAGGAGCCCTCTTTCCTATCTGTAAAATCAAGGAGTTCAACCATCCCTTCTGGTTATGGGGTTTCTCCCTGCTAGTTTTGCTTAACTAATAATAGATCATAACTTAATTTTTTTTATTTAAAGCTACATTACAATGAAGATTCAAATTTGGTGAAAATTGCATAAAAAATTCCAATAGCCTCCTATATAAGCTTGGTAATTTAACACATTTCTAGGAAAAATTTAGTATCTCAACTCCATTTATTATCATTTATCCACATTCAAGTTCCCATTACTTTATAGATATCTGCATTTATAAACAAACTTAATTGTATTTGGTATCAATTCTTTCTGCTGATAGGCCAGGTTAAAAAATGTGTGTGTGTGTGTGTGTGTGTGTGTGTGTGTGTGTGTGTTACAGAAGTATTCAATGATCACTGTAGAAAAATTTAGGAGTGTAAGAAAAGACCTCCCCAAATCAACAATCTTAAGGTAATCACTATTAATATTTTTATATTTACCATTTCACTTTTATTTTCCCCTAGGAGATACATATACATATATATATATATATATATATATATATATATATATATGTGTACTAAAATGTATATGTTTTGTTTTAAACATGATTTGGAAAACATCCTATCTAATAAAGAGTGAATATGCTAATTGACCACCACACCCTTACAAAGATGGCAGTGCCCACAGCCAATAAGGAGGCAATATGCTAATTGACTCCCATGCCCTCAAAGATGTTGGAGCCACAGCCACAAGATGGTAGCGCCCAGTCTCCTCAGCCCTGCTGGGGTGGCAGGTGTGCGGCACTGCCCGGCATGCCCCCAGGTGGGTCTGGGTACTCCATACATCTGCTTTCAGAGTCCCCCAGTTCCCCTCAGCCCCCCAGCACAGGGCCACCTGAGGCACAGGTAACCAGGGCAGGCTGAGGCTTGTGCTTCTGGCAGTGGCAACAGCAGAGGTGTGATGTGGGCATCGCCTTCCCCTGATCACCAGGTTGCCTCCCTCCCTGAGGGCTCCCAGACTGTGAGCTCCCCCTGCTTAGTACCCGCCCCCCCGCCTCCAGTGCATGAATTTTCATGCACCAGGCCTCTGGTTACATATAACTTTCTATACTGATGTTTTCATGCAACAATATTCAGCCATGTTATTAAAGATTTTTCAAAAACCATCTCTAATGGCTACATAATATTCTGAATATACCATAGAATTTAACTTTCCTTCACTTGTTGAGCATTTAATATGTTTATGATTTTCAATAAGTATTTCCAAAGTATTTTTCAGATTTTTACTATTCCTAGCAATTCAGGAGACTATTATTTCACTGCACTTTTGCAAAGACTGAACATTTCAACTGTAAATTTTTGTCAACCTGACAAATGAATAATGAGTTTTAATTTGCAGTTTGATTAACGAAGTCAATTTTTTAATTATTTCTATTTATTCTGAGAATCATTCATAACTTTAACTGAGACAAAATTGACCTTTAATAAAGTTTTATAAAAATATATAGGATCCACACCAGAGATATTGGATAGTCAAGGCCTTGTTCTTAGTACACCCAATGGCCAAGGCCACTTTGAATGTGGGAATTTTAGTCAGAATGTCCAAGGCTAAGATGCCACATGCAGATGCAAGGACAGAAGTCTCATGGTACATTGCACACATGCACCTTTTTGTAGACAAAATGATTGATGTAACTTGGAGGAGGCTCTTTTGTCTAAGTGATGTAGTACATTACTGACCAGCCAGTGTGCTGTGTGCAGAGGCAGAGAGCTCAGGCACTGCTCCTGATGGGGGAAATGAGACATTTTCCGGGGGCTAGCAATCTGAATCTGTGCCAGTAACATAATGCACATTCTTGTTATCCTATAGTCTAGTCACTGCCCCTTCTTTAATTATCTGGTCCTGTAAGACCTGTTTACCTAAGTACTGCTCCCATTTTAGAGAGGCCTTAAACCATGAACAATACACAACCCCCAGACAGAGTTATCAGTGCTGGCGCCAGGCCAGGCCTTTAGGTGTGGTCTCATGGCCCCCACCCCAGCACGTGGGGCTTTTTGCAAAGCCTATGACAAGTCCAGAAGTATGATCCATATTTGGGGTATAAAAAAGCCAAAGGGGAGTAAAGGGAAAGCTTCCTCCGTATTGGCTTGCTCAGAATTTGGAAAGAAACAGCCTCCCCTTAGTCCTGTACTAGTCCATGAGAAACATCTAAAAATAAATGTTTTTTTCCTGTGCCTCCAGGAATCCTGTGTATTTTTTGATCCCCTGGTAAATTCTCTACACTCCTATGTGGGGCAATGAGCCTAGGGGCAGCATGTGGCTGCTTAGTTAATAATTGGGTGCAGAGACTGCTACTCCTGTGTGGGAAAGATACTTTACTAGTATCAGCTGATGTGTGGCTGAATGTTTTATGGACTGTATAAGGTTTTCCCTTCTCCCAACTGGTGGGTGCAGTTATGACATTACTGGCATCTGTCACAGAGACATCCCCAAGACATTGAACCACCAATCAGTGCATGCCAAAGTGTCCTGGAACCCACTCCTTCCTGTTCCTCCCTGGGTCCAACCCTCTCCTGTTCCCCCCTCCCAAGTCCTTCAATTCTGATTTCTCTACTTTACTTTAAAATGTCTTGGTGGTCAGTTTCCTGTGCCTCAAACCTTACAGACTGCTTAAAGAACTGTCTTGTCTAATGGCTATGTGGCCATTGGCTTCTGAAATAAAGACTCCTCACAACTCCTCATGGCTTCTAAGACCAGGTATCCAAGAAGGTCCAGCCCTAGGCAGAGGGGCTGGGACCCAACAGTTCGTGCAGTGAGCAGGGATCAAGGAGGGATCTCCCCTGACAATTGGCTAGTCCTTAGCAGAATTATTGGACTCGGAGCAGCAGTGCTCTGGCTGCTCTGACAGAATGCCTATTGAACACGTGTTCATCAAATGCCCATAGTTGCATTTTTTAAAATTAAGGTTTTTAAATTTTTTTTTTAGATATTTGTGGTGTCACCTGCAGTTGTAAAAAATAAGAGAGAAATCACCTGTGCCCTTCCCCCTGTTTTCTCACATGGTGACAGCTTGGAAAACTACAGGCAATATCACAAATAGGAAATTGACACGGGCTCAACACGGGCGACAGGTTTTCCCTCGGGCAGAGACCCATCCCCACGACCTGGCTCCTTTCTATAGTTTGTCATTTCCGGGAGAAGAGAGCTCCCCATCGGGTCAAGGTCCAACCAAACAGGCACCACCAGGCATCACGCGCGTCGCAGGCCGCCGGTTGCCCAATCAGGAGCGTGAGGAAATGACGTCATGTAATTGACGGAAGAGGCAGGGCATCCGTGGCCGCGCGCCCAATCAGAATCCCGGAGAGACAGGGGGCGGAGCCTGGCAACCTTCGGCGGTGGGAGTAGCCTACGGCGCTACTGAGGCCGCGGCGCGCCCGGCGCCGGCGTGCGGCTCTGTGGCCCGGCGCCCGCGGCCCGCGTCCCTTGCCCGGCGGCGGCGGCTGGGCGGCCGCGGGAGTAGCGCCGCCTCTGCCCGGAGTCCCGCGTGGCCCCGGCGCGAATGCGGCTGCGGCCGGGCCTGCAGCGGGCGCGGGGGCGCCGGGCGGCCGCCATGGGGAACTGCTGCTGGGCGCGGTGCTTCGGGCGGCTCCGCCGGGAGGCGGGGCGGCTGCCGCGGGGCGGAGGGTAAGCGGGCTTCGCCGCCGCGGGGGCCAAGGCGGGCGCGGAGGCCTGCGGGGCCCCGGGGAGCTGGTGCGCGTCCCGCAGGGTCTGCGGGCGGCGGGGCCGGGCGTGGCCGCAGACGCCCTGCGGGCGGGTTCCCGCGCCCGATTCGCCAGGTGACCAGCCCGCCGGGTGCGGGAGGACCGGCCCGGGGCGCGGGCGGCCTGGCGCGGGGCTGGGTCTCCGCGCCGTCCGCCTCTTTGCCGCCGGGGCCGCGCAGCCTTGTCCCGTGGGTTTGCGGGGTTTGGAGAGGAGTGACCGCTCCGGGAGCCCCATCCGCCGGGGACTGGAACTCCAGGGTCGTCCATTTGTGTGGCTTTGCTCTGGTGAGCTGCTGAGGAGGCGAGAGCAGAGTCCTTTGAAGTCAGCTTTGTTGTCGAATAAACGTGTCCCGGACTCAAACTTGGAAACGTGAGCCCAGCCGCGTTGTGTAGGAAGCAGGTGCTGACGGTCTCTAGAAGAGATCACGGAGCTTCGGCCTCTGTCCCATTTAACCAACGGTATTAGGTAATAAGGTGGCGTAGCATGAGCCCATGGAGGCCAAGTGGTTTCTGAGTTGGGTCTTTGGACTCTGGATTCTGATGACGTAAGCCCACGCCTCCCTCCGGTCCGCCTGCATCATGTCCCCTCCAAACCCGCGGTGCCCATTTAGGTTTGGGCGTTCCTGACCCCACAGCCGGGCTGTTGCAGAGGAAGGCGGCCAGTCACTGCGTTTGCTTTCATGAGGTCTCGCCTAAGGACCACACGCGCAAAGTCTTCGGCTTGGGTCGCATTTTATTTGTGTTTTTGTTTGCCGGGTGTTAAATTCTAACTGTAGTACCGGGATCTAATTCGGTAAGCAGATAACAGATACAGGGTGAGGCCGGGTAGGTGTATAGCTGTGAGACCTCAAACCTATTTATTCTTGTGGTATTATTGTTAATTAGGGATCCCCCCCCCCCTTTCCCCGAAATTTGTGCACAGGGGTAAGGGGGGGGGTCCCCTCAGCCTGGCCTGCACCCTCTCCAATCTGGGGGTAGGGGGGCATCCAACTAAACTGCAGTATGCTGTCCCTCTCACAATCCAGGACTACTGGCTCTTAACCATTCACCAGCCTGCCTGCCTAATGCCCCCAACTGCCCTCCCCTGCCAGCCTGGTCTTGCCCCTAAATGCCTCTGCCTCGACCCCCACCACCGTGGCTTTGTCCAGAAGGAAGTGGGACATCTAGAAGGTGGCCGGTTGACCTGGTTTAATTAGCATGTTACCCTTTTATTATATAGATTACTGCATTTTCCATAGGAACCACTGTTAACCTACTTTTGCCCCCCTTCCCTCCCTAATTGGACGTTGGACTGCGTTGGTGTCTGGGACTTTTGTACTCTCAAGGTGATTTTACAAACTGATTTCCTAGGGAAGAGCAGTGACATTGCAGACACTGCTCCCTGAGCCCGGGAGCTGACAGCACAGGGAGCCCCGCAACCTGTGTCGCTGTCTGTGGATGTGTGTGCACACTGAGCAGTTGGGTCTGCTTTCTGCCTGTGGACAGAACTCCTGTGACAGACTGCCCTGCTGAGGCCAGAAGAGCTGTGGCCATGGACCTGGAAAGCCAGATGGTGCCCCCTGGCTGTAGCTCAGTTGGTGACAGAGAGCATCTTCCCAGCAAAGTTGTGGGTTTCATCCTGGTCGGGGCATATGCAAGAATCAGCTGATGAATGCATAAGTAGAACAGCACATGGATGCTTTACTCTCTGCTTAAAAATCAGTCAATAAAAATATATGGTCACATGATGCTGGTATTGATCTGTTTCTTTAATCCATAAATGTAGGTTTGCACAAGTTCCCTAACTTGAGTCTTCTAGTAACATATTGTTTTACATCAGTTTTAATATTCTTTTAGCAACTTCTAGTAAGCATGCAGACAAGTTAGGTTAAATTTACCTCTCAATTTAAAAAAATATATCTTATTGATTTTTACAGAGAAGAAGAGTGAGGAATAGAGTTAGAACATTGATGAGAGAGATGTGCCTGCAACCAAGGTACATGCCCTTGACCGGAGTCGAACCTGGGACCTTTCAGTCGCAGGCCAACACTATCTACTGAGCTAAGATGGTTTTGGTTACCTCTCATTTTCATTAATATTTTTTTTCCACCTGGTAGTTTTGGGGTGTTTTTTTTTTTTTTTTTTCCAGTACTAGGTCTAGCTAGCTAACATATAAGGGCCAAAACTTAGAGGAGTAATAAAACTTGATGTGATTTATATTTGTCTAATAGCTCTCTATTCTGTAGATAGGTCTTCGGTTGCCATTATCTCTCAGCGCATTATCTTGTACTTTGCCACTGGAGGATCTTAATGTATATGCTTGTTGACAGAATTAAGGAGTGTGGTTTCTTAAGTGTATCTTGGTCTTTTCACCTTCCCCTGCTTTTGGCACTTAATATTCCTTGAAGCATTCCTTTAACTCCTCAGAGGCATGATTGATGCCTCACCTCAGGCTGACTTTGCTGGCCCTTATTTGAACTTTCCTTCTCAGACCATGGTAGTTCTTAACTCGCCAGTGTCTGCCCTGTGACACTTCAATTCTCTTAGGTATATTGCTCAATTTTTATTCACTTGGTATTTAAATACATAGCTATGTCTCTCATTCAGTAACCCAGGGAAGTAAGAACTGGAAGGTTCATGTAGGTGCCAACATTCTAAAAGCAGAGGGTGTTCAAGGGGTGTGATCAGAGCAGGGAGCCCAATCTTTTTACAGCATCCTCTGTTTACACACATCCAATAGGAACAGGGTACTCCTCACGGGCAGAACACTCTGACCTTCCGTGACATGACACCCTGTATGTGGAAGGAATAGAGAAAAGATGCTGCACACATTGCAGGGATAAGTAAAAGGGAAACAAAAGACATTTAAGGTCTAATTATTTCCCTCTAAGTCAGGCTCCTCTGTAGGGCAAGGGCTTTTTAAATCCATGTTTTCTGTCTTGGACTGTTTAGAAAGAAGATTTCTCTTTTCCTGGGCATAAAATAAGTTTCTGAACATCTGTTCTTCCTAAATTTGCCTTCATCAGAGAGGAGTTTGTTAAACAGTAAATGTTATCACTTTATTATTACCTCCTATATCAAGGCTATACCTACTTGGAAACCCTGTTGATGGGTCATCCCTTGAGATTTGAATGGTTAAACCTCCTTTCAAGTATTGGATACTAATTGTAAAACGGTCTGTATATCATCTTCATTGTAATAATTTTTGCCAGGAATCTAATTTGTAACCTTTTCAATCTTTAGTTCAGATGAAAAGAGTCTTGGGAAGCTTTTGATTTTTAATAGATTTTGGAACAGTTTACTATAGTTCTTCATCATTTGTTTATAACGTCAAACAGAAGGTAGAGGGAAAGACTTTCCTATTTTATTTTAACAATATATAGGAGAATATGAAGAAAAGGAACAATACTAATGGGTGATTTGTAAGAAATTTTCAGTTATATTTTACTTAAGTCATTTTGGTGTAAAAGAGTATTTACCTTCTATGCAAAGTAACATAGAACACAAAAGCCTGCATTTTTCAGCCTATTCTTGACAAGGCTGATTTTATCCTTCATAAAACATGATCTTGACACCTGCCTGGATAATATGGAGGCACGAGTCACATTCGCATCACATTTGCAGATGTCTTTATAGCCACATCATTCCGAGTTTGAGAAGCTGCTTTCCTGCCTTTCTGACATCCTTCCTGTGTGGGAGTCGTGTTCAGCAGAGCAGACACAAAAACAGTCTTTCATTTAGAGATATCTCTCCGAACATAAGGGTTATGCATAAAGAAATGTCCATAGATGACTTTAGGCTGTTAAGAAAGATGGAAGATACACTTTATTTAAAAAAAAGAAAGAAAAAAAGATCTTTATTATTGAGAGTATTACAGATGTCCCCCTTCATCGCCCCCCCTCCTCCCAGTTCAAGCCTTCACCACCCTACTGTCTTATGTCCTTAGGTAAGATCTTTGGTTAATCTTTTCCTGCCCCCCTCCCAAGCTGTGAGATTCATCTGTCTGTTCCACACTTTCATGCCTTTGATTCTATTTTATTCAACAGCTTAGTTTGTTCATTAGATTTCTTGTTTGTTTATTTGGATTTTTAGATTCAATGGTTGATAAATATGTGTTCATTGCCATTTTATTGTTCATACTTTTCCTCTTTCTTGTTCTTCTTCCTCTTCATAAATAATACCCTTCAACATTTCATGTAATGCTTTGGTGGTGATGAACTCCTTTAGCTTATTCTTGTTTATGAAGCTCTTTATCTAACCCTCAGTTCTAAATGAGAGCTTTTCTGGGTAGAGTAATCTTGGTTGTTGGTCCTTGCCATTCATCACTGAATATTTCTTGCCACTCCCTTCTGGCCTGTAAAATTTCTATTGATAAATCAGCTGGCAGTTATATGGGCACTTCCTTGTAGATAGCTAACTGTTTTTCTCTTGCTGCTTCTGAGATTTTCCCTTTGCCTTTAACCTTTGTCATGTTAATTGTGACATGTCTTGGTGTGGGCCTCTTTGGGTTCATCTTGTTTGGGGTTCTTCAAATAGGTTTTTAATATCTTGCTCTCCTCCTGAACTCCTATAACGTGATTGTTGGTACACTTGAAGTTGTCCCAGAAATTCCTTACACTATTTTCATGGTTTTGGATTCTTTTTTCTTTTGCTCTTCTGCTTGGGTGTTGATTGTTTTCTCATATTTCAAATTGTTAATTAGATTCTTGGTGTCCTCTATATTGTACAATCCATGTAAATTATTCTTTATATTAGTAAGTGTATGCTTAATTTCTGACTGGTCCTTTTTTATGTCTTTGAAATTCTCACTAAGATCCTTGAAAGTCTCAGGAAGATCCTTGAGTAACACTGTAACCATGGTTTTTGAACTCTGTATTCAGTAATATGTGCATTTCTTTTATTTTGCTATTTGGCCGCTTTCCTGTATTTGCCTATGTTTTAGGCAGAGCTGCTGTTTCTCCTGGAATTGTAGAGTGGCCTTGAGTAATAAGTGTCCTGTAGGGTCTTGTGGCTCAGCCTCTCCAGTCACCAGAGCTGGGCACTCTCGGTGCCCCTGTTTGTGGGCCGTGTGCACAGTATTGTAGTTGAGCTTTGCTGTTAATGTCACTGGGAGGAGTTGACCTCCAGGCCAGTTGGCTGTGAAGACCAGCTACATTACTACAGCGGGAAAGCTTCTGTGCAGGAGATACCCATGTGGAGCAGGATTCACTTCAGTGGAGCTTTAGTGCTCACTGAGTCTGCTCCTTAGTGTGTCCCTTGTGGATGTGTACAGTTGTAATCTGTTATGGTCTGAAGCTATCCACTGGGTACAGTGGCTCTGGGACCATCCAGCAGGAGCTACAGAGAGATCTGCAGATGGCTGCAACTTACATGGGTCTTAGAAGTGCCCTGGTGAGGCCCAACTGTGAAGTAAGGCAGGCTGGTACTGGTGCTGAGTCTTGGGCCTTTTATTGATTCTTAAATTTGGGGCATGATGTCACCAGCTGCAGCTTGTTTAAGAGATTTTAGCAAAGTCTGAACCCTGAGTTGGGACAGGCCATTAAGATGAAAAAACTGGTGCAAACAGCTTGAGTAGGGCTGCAAATTGGGTGGGGTGGGATCTCAGGGAATCACCAGGGCAGAGCAAACAGTTTGAGCCAGGTTGATGGAGACTCAGATATGGCCCCTGCCAGTCAGCTCTGTGACCTGGGAGGTCCCAGCACAGAAACAGTGACTGCTATGAGCACCTCTGTCTGGGAGAAAGCTGCTCTTGAGTTCCTGCCTTGACGCTAGAAAATCCATTTTCTCCTCATATGTCTGGGTCCTCTAAAGCCAATGGGTGTTGGAAGTTTAAGTAAGTCCATTTACTGACCCTTTAAATGGGACTGCCTGTGTCTCCAGCAGTCTCCATCTCACTCAGCACAGTCCCCACTGGTTTTTACAGCCTGAAATTATGGGGACTTCTCTTCCCAGCTCTGGAACCCTGGGCTAGGAGTCAGGTACTGGGACTCTTGGTCCTCACAGATGACCTCCACAGAGACTATCTCCCTCCCAGTTATAAAATGGCACATGTGGGTGTCAGGCCAGCCGTTCCTCCCCTCGGTCCCTCCTACCAATCTCAGTGTTGCTTTCTTTGTTACTTCTCTAGTTGTACGCCTTCTATTCAGCCAGCGTTCAGGTGATTCTGAATGATGGTGGTTCTGTATTTTCGTTGTAATTTTGATGTGGCTAAGGGATGCGTTACATACTGTCATATACCTATGCTGCCATCTTGGTTCTCTCCACTTGTATTTTTTTTAATCGTTGTTTGTGCAGTGTGTTTGTTTCATCAGTTCATCTCTCCTCATAATTAGTGTACTTGAATGTATGTATGTACAGGGTTGCTTTCCTCACCCAGTAAGAGCCCTCGGGCAGAAGAGATAGTGACTGAAACTCTGCAGGTGACACCATCTGATGGTCAAAGGAGCAATAATTCTTCTTAAAGTGAAGGACAAAAGTGGCCAAGCAGGACTGCGCCTGACCAACAAGAAGACAGGAATCATGACTGCAGGAGAAACCACAACTTCAGCGAAGATGATGAACACATGAGGCTCTCGCTGACCTTGGCTCTGTCCTCAGGTCAAGTGCAGGCAGCAGCCAGCAAGTCAGAAGGTGGCTGAGGCTGGACAGGCAGCCGAGGGAGAATCAGAAAAGGTCACCAGGAGCCCTGACGGGCCACAGAGACCAAGGCCAAGATCAAGGTGGGAAGGTCAGACAGTGGAGAGGCTGATGGGAAAAGCTGGTTCGTTTTAATCTGGTGCTAGAGAAGGCCCGGGACCACGAGAAAGATGAACAAGTGGGTCTTAGAGCAAAGACATGTCCAGAACAGGTGACACACGGACGCTGTCCTGCTTCGGACACCACGTGAGGAGGCAGGGTCTTTGGAAAAGACAATGATGCTGGGCAGAGGCAGCAGGAGAATAGGAGCCCAAACAGAAGGTGAGGGGACTCACAAAGGAGCCACAGGCTGAGCCTCCAGGCTCAGCAGGGCCGTGAAGGGTGGACATTGGACAGCACCATTCCAGTGTCCCTGGGAGTCCAGCTCAGTGGCACATCGACAAGTGCAGGGAGAGAAGGGTGGGGTTTGGGTGGATGGAGAGTGCTCTCCTGCATCAGTTTTGGCAGCTGTAACAGAAACCACATTAAGTGAAAGTCATTATCTCCTTGTCCCTCGCTTAGGAAAGGACTTGAGTGGTTTGTCCTGTACTTATACTAAGTGGTTTTACAGTGTGGTTGTGTCTGGGGGTTAGATACAACAAAGATGTTTGTTTTACTAATAGCAGAAGAGAATGATTCCTTTTTTAAAATGTCAGCTTCATTGAGTGATAATTGAGAAAATTGTAAGATATTTAGAGTGGAGAACCATGATGGCATACACCTGTACTTGCTGCCTCTCACAACCACATCAAAACTACAACTAAAAGACAAAACAACTATAATGCAGAACTGCAGGAAAGCTGGCTGACTGGAAGTTCTATAACTAGAAGGAAAGAAAAAAGCACATTGAGACTGGTAGGAGGTGCAGAGGCACGCATGGAACTGCCTGGCAACCAGTGCACTGTTGTTGTTTTTCAATCAGGAGGGAGATACAAGATCCTGATTGCTCTGAACTCCAGTTCCAGGCAAGACTCTAGGAACCCAGCCTCCTCCGGGGAGAAACTGGACTGTCTGGCATCGGGCCACAGCACCAGGGCAGCTCTCTCTCGGAGGTGCTCGCAGCGGCACTGTGTCTGTTCCTGCGTGGGGACACAGTACGTGGAGATGCGGGGGCCTCTCTGGTGCAGGGCTGACTGGCAGCCATTGCTGTTTGCTCTGCTTTGGTGATTCCCTGAGACCCCACCCCACCAAATTTACAACCCCACCCAAGCTGTGCACAGCAGCTTTTGCATATGAATGGCCTGGCCTTTCTCAGCTTAAAACCTGTCAAACTGTAGCTGGGTCAGAGAGCCCCAAAGCTTCCAAAAGAAGGCCCAAGGCGTGGCAGCAGCAGCCTTTCTTACTTCACAGCTGGCCTCATCTGGGCACTTTTAAACCCCATACAAAGAGGAGGAATCTGCAGATCTCTCTGTAGCTCCTGCTGGGTGGCCTCAGGCAGTGGATTACTTTGCACCTCCTTGGAGATCCAAGAGCCAGTGTACCCAATGGTCAGTGTGAGACCACACCAGATTACAACTCTTCAGATCCACAAGCAACACACTCAAGGGGCAGACTCAGTGAGCACCAAAGCCCTACTGAAGCAAGTCCTACCCTATAAGGGTGTCTCCTGCACAGCATTTCTTCCATTGTAGACACAGCTGAAAGCAGCAAGAGAAAAACAGTTACCTATAAGGGAGTACCCATAGGATCGTCAGCTGATTTCTCAACAGAAACTATGTAGGCCAGACAGGAATGGCCAGAAATATTCGAAGTGATGAATAGCAAGAACCTACAACCAAGATTACTCTAAACAGCAAAGCTGTCACTCAGAATTGAATGTCAGACAAAGAGCTTTACAGATAAGAAAAAGCTAAAAGAGTTCACCACCAAACCAGTGTTATATGAAATGCTGAAAGGTATTCTTTAAGAAGAGGAGGACGAAGAAAAATGTAAAAATAAAAGTTATGAACAACAAAGTGAAAACAAATACATATCAACAAGTGAATCTAAAAATCAAATGAATAAAAAATCTGATGAACAGAATAAACTGATGAATATAATAGAATCAGGGGCATAGAAAGGTAGTGGACTGACAGTTCTCAGGGGGAAAGGGATGAGTGGGTGCGGGAAGAGATTGGACAAAAATCCTACACCTATGGAGAATAGTTGGGGGAGAGGGCATGGGGTTGGAAGGTGGAGTGGGAACCAGGTGGAGGGGAGCTATGGGGGAAAAACATCTGCAATTTGACAATCTGTAATAACCTCAAGGTTAAAAAAAATATATTTAAAGTGTACATCATGGTGATTTGATATATGTATACACTGACTAGAATGGTTAAAATTAAAGTCATTATTTGGCCCTAGTTGGAAAAATTAACTCATAACTATCTGGACTATATTTATAGGTAAATTTGGTAGTTCGTTTTTATAAATATAAGGTACTATATGTTAAAGAATTTAAAGTTGCTCTAGAGCCGAAACCGGTTTGGCTCAGTGGTAGAGCATCAGTCTGCGGACTGAAAGGTCCCAGGTTCGATTCCGGTCAAGGGCATGTACATTGGCTGTGGGCACATCCCCGGTGGGGGATGTGCAAGAGGCGGCTGGTCGATGTTTCTCTCTCACCGACATTTCTGGCTCTCTATCTCTCTCCCTTCCTCTCTGTAAAAAATCAATAAAATATTAAAAATAAAAAATAAAAAATAAAGTTGCTCTAGAGAAAATGTTTTTACCCCATCATATTAATTCAGCTTTAGGATTAAATTTGATTTTAAAGTTGTTTTTCTGTCTTTCTTCCCAGATCCAAATATTTTAGAACATGCTCAAGAGGTGAGCATTTAACAATAGAGGTAAGTAGAGTGAATAATTTGATTGGATATAGTGCTTTCAGGAGGGTGTGTTTTTTTTTTTAATTAAGGAGGAAAGATCAGGACTGTATATTTAAGAGTTATTGATGCTGGTGAAGAGGAAATAATTGCTTGGGGGGAGGGGTGTGCAAGGAAATGTGGACAACAGATTCATTTCTACTCAAAAAGTAGTTACTTTTCCACTTCATGGCACAAGGCAGTGGCTGCCAGGAGGTGCAGGCCTGCCCCGTGCAGAGGGCCCTGGAATTAGAGCACGTTCAGCAACTCCACCGTAGAATCCCTGAGTCACTTTGTCTTTGTGTGTAAAACATAATAATAGTGGACTCTACCTTGGATTCTGCCCTCCTGTATACCAGCTACTCCACCGCGGAGTTGAGTGTCATTGCTCATAACTCTTAGTACTATCATAGTAAACGTGGCAGCCATCCCATTTTATGGTTGGGAATTGAAGACTTAGGCAGGTGAAGACAGTGGCCTCGCACACACAGCCTTTAAGTGGCAGAATTTAAATTCCAGTCCTAACTGCCTGGCTCCAAAGCTTTGAGCACTGTACTTGACTTTTTTCTAGTCCTGAATTTTCTGAACCTTTCATGGTTTTCTTTTGTATTATTATTAATGTATTTTTATGGATTTCAGAGAGGAAGATAGAGGGAGAGAGAGAAAGAAGCATCGTGATGAGACAGAATCATTGATGGTCTCCTCCTGCACACCCACGTTGGGGATCGAGCCCACAAGCTAGGCATGTGCCCTGACTGGGAATCTAACTGTGACCCTCTGGTTCATAAGTTGATATTTAACCACTGAGCCACGCTAGCCAGGAAAAGCTTTATTCTTTCAAGTGGTTATCAATTATTTATACTTAAAATACAACTATTTTTATAGTAATGACTTTCATTAGGTAATTTGACGTGGCCATTTCTATCTCTAGAAAGAGTATTGGGAGCTGTGACTCCCATCTAGTAAATCTTCAGCAAATACTTATATGAATGAATAGATGAGTAAATATAAACATTATAAGAGAAATTCTTGTTTGGGTATCTTTTCAGTCCCTATTTTTTGAATAATTTTCCTTCTAATAACATTGAGTTCATCTGAACTCAAGTGGAAATTCTAGCTGTGTGGGTTTAAAACATCTGTATGAAATGTTCTATTCAGATGAAAGTTTTGCTTATCAGTTGCTCTATGTAAAAACTTGCTGTGAGTCTCCTTTTTGTTTTTATTTAAAGTCCATAAATGAAAAAGATAGCTTATCTTGGCCTTCTTGTAGGACTGTTAAGTATATATCAAATGAACTGATGTATACAAAAATATTTACATTACTTTTTAGGTGAAAATGTGACATCATTATTTGTGGGATATGTACCTTAGACAGATATCTCTCCTAACATTGCTTTTTTGTTCTTTCAGTTTGAGAATCTAGTAGAAAGTGATGAAGTAAGTATTCCATAATAATGCAAAGTCCATATCAATCTCATTGGTCATCTAATTAGTTCTAACAATTCAGGTTTTTTTCCTCATTTTAATGTAAGTTTTAAAAATATGTTTTTATTGATTTTAGAGAGAGGAAGGGAAGGCCAGAGAGGAACACGATGAGAGAAAAGCATTAATGAGCTGTCTTCTGAACGCCCCCTACTGGGGATCAAGTCCACCAGCCGGGCATGTGCCTTGACTGGGAATCAAACCAGTGACCTCTTTGTTCAACCATTGAGCCACACCGGTCAGGCAATTAATTCATTTTTATTTTTTATTTATTGTTTTAATATAATTTATTGATTTTTTTTACAGAGAGGAAGAGAGAGGGATAGAGAGTTAGAAACATTGATGAGAGACATCGATCAGCTGCCTCTTGCACACCCCCTACTGGGGATGTGTCCGCAACCAAGGTACATGCCTTTGACAGGAATCAAACCTGGGACTTTTCAGTCCACAGGCCAATGCTCTATCCACTGAGGTTTCAGCTCATTTTTAAATAGTATTTACATCATTTACTTTTAAATTAGGATTTTTTTATTTTATTTTTACTGTTCTTTATTTTTGTCTTTCACTAATTTATATTAGCAAATAATTCAGAATTTTCTATAGACCATGTGTAATACTATATATAATTTAATTTTTATATAGTTATGCATATTATAATATCAGCTATGTAACACAGGTTTTAAAAGCATTCTTTAGAACTCAAGGAACTTTAAAAAGGGATATTTCCAGCCTCTGGCCATAAGGTAAATTCCTCACAATCCAGAGTAGACGCATTCTTTAACCATAGTTCTCATGAATTTCTGAGGGTGGAATTTATATATGTTCATTCTACAATCAGTTTCTGACTTTTGCTGTTATCTTTTCTTTCAGTTACTTTTGGTTGATTTTTTTGCTGTTTATCTCATCTAAAACTTGTCACTTTTAAGGTGCAGTCCAAGTACAAAAACATTATCCTATTTTTTTAAAGCACATTTTAGGGCTAGTGAAGCGGGTGTCTGTGTCGGTGTGCTGGGGCAGTGAGAAGAGTTTTAATTTACTGATGTTCATCCTCCCGAAGTGAATTGCGTGAGTTTGTGCTCATTACTTGCCCTCCCACGGCCCACACCCCACACCTCTGAAATGAGTGAGGCTAGAAGAGCCTGCAGGCTCTGACCTGCTGTCCATTTTGTTTTCTAAGAAAAGAGGAAAACGTGTTGAACCACATTCAAGTCATTTCTCAGCCCAGCCTTTCCCAGCTTGTGTGGAGGCCAGTCTCGGAGTGCATGCTGGCTGTTGAGGGTCTTGAGGAGAGCTGTTGTGAAAGAGATCATTGAAGTCTGTTCACCTCAGCATTTCCCAGAGCAATCTGGTCTAAGTCCTTTTATAAATAGCAATACGTACTAGTCATAGGATAGAACACATTTAGGAAGCTCTTCCCTTCTGCTTTCCCAGTAAAATTTCTCCCTGATATTTGAATGTTTCATAGAACCTAGTTTCTTTTCCTTGTCATACGTCACTTTCATCTCCATGTTTGTCTGTTTGTTTTTATTAACACAGTGAAGGCAACATCTAACCTGATATTTTTAAAGTTCTGACAAATGTTAAATGTACGAGTTCCTTCAACCTTCAGTATAGTTCAATATAGTTTTAAAATCAGCATCATACTGATTTTAAAATGTTTCTAAGAGAGAAGGGAGATATCTGTTGTTCACTTCTTGATGCATCCGTTGGGTGATTCTCCTTAAGCCCTGATCAGGGATTGAGCCTGCAGCTTTGGCGCGTCAGGACCCAATGACAGCAGCCCCGGAGCCGCCGGCAGGGCCTGCGCTTCAGAGACATCTGTGGTCCTGTTTGTGCTAAAGTGCTGTGTTTGGCTGCTTTTGTTTTTGCTAACAGCCTTTTCTCGCATCATAGTTTATGGTGGGTTTGGTTGAACTGTTTTGCAGTGCTATTTCCTAAATTTGTTTGGAACATGTAGAATTTTATTTCTGCTCTTTAGCCATATATTGTAACTCTCAGATGTGAATAGTTTAACTATGTAAGACGGACACATGAGCCCAAATCAGTTTTGAAATCAGTTGGGGTTTCCTTTGGAGGGGAAAAAAAAAAGGTATAGCTAATTTCAGATCCTGTGGAAGAAAATGAAGACAGTGGATTCTCATTTGTGAGAATGAGCTGAACCTGCAGGAACCAGAACACTCCTCCTCGGGGATATAACAGAATTAGGTGCCAAGGGTTCTCCCACAGTCTCATCTGTTAATCAGTGTGTAACCTTGTTTGATGTCTCTGCATGACACCTTATTTTAATACTAAGGGCCCCAGGGGTGTTGGGGTGGGGAAGTGTCCCTTAGCCCAACCTACACCCTCTCCAATCTGGGACCCCTCGAGGGATGTCCAACAGGATCAGGCCTAAACGTGTAGTTGGACATCCCTCTCACAATCCAGGACTGCTGGCTCCCAACTGCTTGCCTGTCTACCTGATTGCCCCTAACCGCTTCTGCCTACCAGCCTGATCACCCCCGTAAACACTTCCCTGCCAGCCTGATTGATGCCTAACTGTTCCCCTGATAGCCTGTTTGTCCCCAATTGCCCTCCCCTGCAGGCCTGGTCACCCCTAACTGCTCTCGCCTGCAGGCCTGGGTCCCCCCCAACTGCCCTTCCCTGCAGGCCTAGTCACCCCCAACTTCATTCCTCTGCTGGACTAGTCACCCCTAACTGCCTTCCCCTACAGGCTTGATTACCACCAACTGTCCTCCCTTGCAGGCCTGGTCCCTCCCAACTACCCTCCTCTGCTGGCTACATGGGGGCAGCCATCTTGTGTGTTGGAGTGATGGTCAATTTGCATATTACTCTTTTATTCAGATATGTTCTCTGAACACATAATAATCTGGCCACTCAGTGTGTATACCTATATAATGTGTGTGTGTGTATTAATATTTATTAGAGGCCCGGTGCATGAATTTGTGCATGGGTGGGGTGAACATGTGGCATGTAATAGCTGTAAAAGGAACACAGCTGAGAGCTGAAAACAGAGGGCGAACCCTGTGTACCCTGTCCTCCCCTTCCCACCTTCCTACCCCTCCTCTCCTTCCCACCCCTCTCCCCTCTTTATGTGCATGCGGGCACCCGTGGTGGTTGCTTTGCATGAGCCTGGGAGTCCTGCAGATGCAGGTGAGCTGGTTGAGAGGCTTCTGATGATTTGACCGGGAAGGTGAGCTTACATCCAGAGTCCGTGAGGAATGAAGGCATGGAGGGCATGTCTGGTCCGAGTCATGGGTGTAGAGTAAATATTTGTTAGAAAATTTTAAAGAAATATCCAGTAATTTATTGTTATATAATTAAGCTAGGTTATTAAACTGAATTTTTGCCTTTGCAAAATAGTAAAATTTTAAAGCTCTTAAATAACTAAACTTGTTCACCATGATAAAGGGAAGTGGAATATTTTGGTTAAGTAAAGTTTTTATTGGCTTGTCTGAAATAGAATTAAGCTGATGAAGCATTTTGATTGTCTGATTCCTTTTCTGTACAGGGGGAAAGCCCAGGAAGCAGGCACAGGTAAGGCGGGTTTTCCTCAGGAACTTGGGTTTGTACTGCAGCAGCGCTGAGGGCTGGGCTGTCATGTCATCTGTGTGCTCTGCACTGCTTCCCACAGACCTGGCTCTTCTCCTGCCAGATTCAGGCAAATAACGCCCATCGCAAAGGATGGCTGTGGACATGAATGTAATGCACATAAGTGCTAGGTGCTTTCTTTTTGAACCTAAGTTGTTTTGTGTTTGTTTTTTAAAAACCATTTAAATTTTCTCTAATTTTTTAAACTTTATCCTTTTATTTATGATGTTCTAAAACTTCTCTTACTAATTATTTTAAAAATCTAATTTATTTAAAATTACTTGAGCTAAGTACTTGAAAAGAGCCATCTATCTTTAACTTGAATTCAAGAGTTCCTAACATCAAGAGAACATTTAAATGCGTTTCATATTAGAATGTGTATTCCTTTACCTTGTGCCGTTTAGCGAACACTTATTAAGCACTGTCCTATGGCCGGCCACTGTGCTAGGCGCCGGATTAAAGAGTCCGTTCAGTGTGGGGCAGGAAGGGCTGTCGAGCATTCAAGGAGGCCTGGAGGAAAGGCCCTCTGTCCCCAGGGGGAAGGGAGGCGAGTTCGGGATGCTCTGAGGAGGCACATCTGGCTCATCCTTGAAGGGTGACGGGCGGCTGTCCGCAGGGGGAGCCTTCCAGGAGAGAAGCCGAAGGGCAGTCATGAGCATTGCCTGGGAAGGGGCGCGAGGCAACCTGGTGGAGATGGGAGGGTCCTCCTGGTGTTGGCAGCTACAGAGTGCACGGTTGTCCCAACTTAAACCACTGAACACGGAACATTTGTATTTTGTTTCCTGTAAGTTAGACCTCCAAACAAACAAGCACACGCACATGCCCTGGCAGAGGAAAAGAAGTGAGGGACGCCACCTGTTGGAGTGATGGTCAATTTGCATATTACTCTTTTATTCAGATATGTTCTCTGAACACATAATAATCTGGCCACTCAGTGTATATACCTATATAATGTGTGTGTGTATTAATATTTATTAGAGGCCCGGTGCATGAATTTGTGCATGGGTGCCCTCTCGAGATCGGTCTTGGCATTGGCATCACCTGCCAGAGTGGGGGTCGAGGAGGGTGGGCTGAGGAGTGGGCTGGGGGAGGCAGGGCACGCACGTGCTGGAGCGAGGGAGCAGGTGTTCCCGCCGCCGCGGTCCCCTTTGCTGGCGTGACTGGAGATGGGGCTGGGGGACCAGGGACTGGTGGGAAATGGCAGGGAGCAGCCTGCGGGCTCAGGTCCCAGCTCGGCCGCAGCCTGTGGTCCCACCTGTCCCTTCCGCCGCGATCGCTGGGTCTGCGGTGGAGGGTTGCTGTGAGGTGGACACAGTTCGTGTGAGACGGACACATGAGCCCAAATCAGTTGAGCGCTGCTGCTGTCCTGACTGCATTTCCTCCCGGGATTGGGGCTGAAGTGGGTGGGGGGCTGGGGGGTAATATGATGGGTCTAGGTGAGAGGAAGGGTTTGCCTCCTTTCCTCCCTCCAGGCAGTGGCAGAGGTGGAAGCTGGCGGCAAGCTGAGGTGATGGGCGGGGGGGAGCTGTCCGGTTCTGGGCGGCCTTGGTGCGGGTCAGGAGTGAGGCAGCGTGGCCCGGGCCAGGCCGGGCTGCAGCGGGAGGAAGAGGGCAGGACGTGGAGGGAGCGGCGGCGCTGCCCCTTGTTTCCCAGTCGCGTGAGGCTGAGTGCGGAGAGGAAGGCGCTGGGGTGAGGAGCAGGGAGTGTGTGGATGCCCATGGCCAGCGTGGACGGGAGGCAGGCGACCAGTGTGAGGGATGCCGGGCCTTCTGTGTAGCTCTCAGCCTCTGCGTGTGCGAGGTGGGGGGCGAGGGAGGCGGCGGGGGCGCTGGGGGAAGCGCCTCAGCCCCACGTGGGCACGCTCTGGCTGGAGGTGACCTTGGCCGGCACCTGATCAGACGGCAGCGAGGGGCGCTGTGAAGCACAGTGAGGAGGGCCCGGGGGCAGCAGAGCCAGGGCGAAGGCCATGGAGGTCACATTTCTTCCCAAAGCCCTCTGATAATGTGCCATCTTCCTCAGCTTCCACCACACGTGGCATGTGTTAGGAGGTGTGCTCTTTAACACAAGTTACAACATCAAATTGCGTTAATACACTTTGATAGTAAATTTCAGAATTTCCATTTTTGAGCGTTTTATTTGGACTCAGAGTCATCAGAAGTTTTCTTTCTTTTTCTCTCTCATTTTTCTGTGTAGGCCTCTGACTGAGGAAGAAATCATTGACCTGAGAGAGAGGCATTATGATTCTATTGCTGAGAAACAGAAAGATCTTGATAGGAAAATTCAAAAGGAGGTTAGTAGTCTTATATTGCTTTTATATATGTTACTATAAAGGATCTTTTAATAGGGGAAAGTTGTCATTGACTAATATATTGCATACAGAATCATTGGACCTATATTTAGATATATACACGTGAAATTATTTAAAAGTTAAAAATTATTTCAGCCTATTATAATTTATTTCAGTTTGATTTAATTTATCAGCAACCATATACAGCCAAAAATGAAGAGAATACATGCACCTAAAGATAATATCCTAATTCATAAGTAGGGACTCCGGCAGGACAGACACATGCACCTGTGTGTTTAAAACGAACTTTTAAATTTTACTGCTTCACAGTAAGTGTGGTTTCCGAAAAGTCTTTTTGTTTGTCTCAGATTTATGTATTCTTCATTATAAACTGATGAACAAATAGATACAGAGACAATAAATCATCAAACAGACTGTCAGATTACAGCGGGAAGATTAGGGAGAGGTGGGGGAGATAAGAGATCAACCGAAGGACTTGTATGCATGCATATAAGCAAGACCAATGGACGCAAAACTGGGGGGGGTGAGGGATGTATGGTGGTGGGGGGGGGGCCCGCAATGGTTAGAAATGTACACATGTAATACCTTAATAAAAAATGAAAAATAAATAAATAAGATGTATGTGTTCTTAGTGAATCAACTGCTTCTAATAGTCATAAATGCTGTATTGTTTTAATATACTCACAGAATGGCCTGTAATTACAATAGGTAATCTATACTAGAGAATATTAGCTTTAAAGAAAAAAATGGTGTTGAAATGTGATGCTTAAGCTTTATTTGAAATGCAGTTGGTGGTCACTAGGGCAGTCAGTGTGCTGTTGGGGACGGTGGGACGGAGATGTGAGCATCGAGGGATCGTCAGGAGGGGCTGGGCGCAGAGCCCCGCTCCTGCCATTCGCGTGGCAGACGTCAGAGGACTGGCCTCGGACAGACTCACCCATCAGGGCCAATAGGCAGGAGACTGTTGGTGAGAATTCTGAGAAAGAAGCATTTCCGTGTTTATGCAAATTACATGCTGCTACTGCATGATTTTAGCTTCTAGAGAATTCTGTAATATGATTGGCTTCATTTGGGTTATTTTATAAAAGGAGAAGTTGAAACGAGAAATCACAAAAGTTTGAGTTCTGCCATGCTTTGAAGGGATCAATGTTTTATTTTTATGAGTAGAAGCATTTTGTTTTGAGAGCAGTCAGACAGGTTCTGATTCTGTTAATCCTCATGTTTTGTTCATGCGCAGTTAGCCTTACAAGAAGAGAAGCTAAGACTAGAAGAGGAGGCTGTGTACGCTGCCCAGCGAGAAGCAGCCAGGGCAGCAAAGCAGCGAAAGCTCTTGGAGGTGAGGGACCCTTGCGTTAGGGCGGCTCTTGTCCTGCTTCTCTCTGACCAGCCGTAGCCGAGCTCTCTGTCCCCGGCAGTTGGGGCTTCTGTGTCACAAATGTACCTCTGCCTGCGTTTCTAGGAACTTAAGGCGAATTAGTTGAACTTTAACAGGTAGAAATGACATCCAGTGATGCACTTGATGCTGAGTGCTGTTTGCCTTCGGGTAGCAGGCGTAGCTCTTGTCTATCCCAAAGATCAGCTTCAGTTTTCTAAAACCCAGTATTCTTTTTGGAAAAATAAATATACTCTTAGACAGAAATGGGGCAAAACTAGCCTTTTTAAGTTTAATTTTGTCAAGTTTTTTTGTTTTGTTTTTTTTGTTTTGTTTTTGTTTTCAAAACAAGGCCTCGAGTTGCTAGAATTTCCTATCCCTCCTAGATGAGGTAAGCCGGCAGTTTTGCCCCCCAGGGATATTGTATATTTCTCATCCTCATTCTGTGTCTTTGGGAGATTGGGAGTTTGAGCCTTGAGAAGACTTTCGCGTGTTATTAGAGAAGGCAAGAGATTTGCCATACCTTACCAGTGCTTATGGTGTTCGGCAAGCATGTCAAACTCAGAGGCTAACACGGGCCAAATGCAGCCCATGGGCCACGAGTGTGTCCTGCTTGGTATACGGCACTCCGGAACTGTCCTCAGCAGGTCACAGTCTTACCTGTTCAATCCTCCCAACAATCGAGGTGGTAGGTCTAATGTTGTTATACGTTGAGTCCCATAGCAGAGGAAGCGGAGGGACAGAGATGAGGTGTATCGACTGGGATTCTACAGCCCAGGGACAGCAGAGCCCAAGGTCAGCTCAGCAGACTCGGCCAGGGTCCCGCTCAGTGTCTCCCACATGCTTTGCCTGGATGGTGCTCTGTCTGCTCACAACCGGGGCAGAGGTCATGTCACAGACAATGACTGTAGCTCAGAGAAGCCAAAGCGTCCTGCCCGTGAAGGGCTGTGGGATTTCTGCGTGACCTGTGTCTTTTATCTTACTCGCACATGTGTGTTTCAGCAGAATAATAAACAGAATGTCTTTTTTTTTTTTTTTCCATTTCTAAATAGTGTGAAAGTTTAAAAATTAACTCACCTCTACTAAGAATTAAAAGTATTTTTCTGGTTATCATATAGGCAACTCTTTTTACTGTAATCCTTATCTGCTCGCCTTTTAAAGACAAAGCATTGCATATGCAGCAGCTGGCGTTTCTCTTCCCAGACTGGACATGGCTGCAGGAACACGTACAGACTCCACAGCCTACACGGCACACGCCACACAGAAAGGTTCAGGGGCACACGGTGCAGCAGGTCTTCATGGCTGCCTGGAAGCGTGCTGGGTGTTACAGCCTCTGTCGTTTACAGATGAACAAACAGGAAGTCAGGGACTCCCAGGGACACGCAGCTAATCACTGTCAGCGCTCAGTCTGCCCCAGAACAGAGCTTCCTGCACTGTGCATGGTCCCTCCTGCCCCGCAGCCCTCTCCGTACTGGAAATTCCTCAGGTGTGAAAGACTGTGAAGGATGTATCTTTTTAAAACACTGAATGTTAAAGATTATACACAGATGAATGAATTTAGAGACATAATAACCATAAATATGAGAATGTAGAAGTAACGGGTGAATTTAAGGGGAAAGACTTCAATAGCATAACTTCCTAAGTTTCTGTGTTTTTTTTTACAAACTACAAAAAAGCGCATCTTGGCATCGCATGGCTGGTCTTAACGCTCTGCTTGTGCGGCAGTGACTTTGTTCCACTTCGTGTTTCCAAGCAGGAGAGGCTGGGCGCTGGTCCTGGATGCCGCCCCTCCAGCGGAGCCGCGTGCCACAGGTACAGCCGCGCATGCTCGGGTAGGAAGCGCTATGGGCACTGTGTGTCTGCGGACATCCCCACCTGCCTGCCCCCCAGGGATCGTTGCTGGTCAAAGACACGCTTTTGCGAGAATGCCAAGGACATTGCCTTATGTTGAAAAGCGATCACTTCTTCAAATGGATTCTGTGGCAGTTTTAAGAGTGGCCACGTCTTGTGTATAGAAATGACGCCACACACTGACTGCCTTTGGATAAGCCATTTATGCCTGTTTGTGTATCTCCTGAACCCTCTGCTCTTACAGCCTGATCATTTTTGGAGGAGTGTTTCCTACTCGTTCTGAGCTCCTTTCCCACTGTGCGTTCTCGTACATTGTGAAGTGGGGATTATGGCCAAGCTTGGAGATGTGACATCAGAATTAGCCAAAATCTTAGTTTCAATTCATTGCTAACATTAAGAAAATTAAGACCTGTTTTCATTGTTATTCTAATGGTGCGGTAATTATGAGTTTGTGTGGGACAGACCGTCAAGCCAAAATGGCATCATTAATTTAAACATGCATATGTTCCATCTACTATGAATATGCACAACAAGTGTTCCACTTTATTACAGCTCAGAACCAGAAGACAACTTTGAATCTTGTTGGCGAAATACAAAGTCACAGTATGAAGTTTTTCAAAGTAGCAGTAAGTCCTTAAAGCTTTCTGTGTACGTTTACATCTCCATCCCAGCTCTGTTTTGGGGAACTCCCACCTTTGGTTCCTGTTGCCCAGATGGTTAGTGCGAGTCCTTAATACACAACAGGAGTTGGAGAGAGCAGTCTCTGGCCCTTTCTGCAGATCTCTGTGGGGAGTCAGGGCCTCGTGTTGTAGTTCTACTCTGACCCCAGCCTCCCCCGGAAAGAGGAAAGAGGTGGGGAGCTGTAATTCAGGATTCCTGAGTGAAGGGCTGTTCTCCGTGTTGCAGAGGGACACTCCCAGGAATGGCAGCATGGGAGTGTCCATCTTAAATACAGACTGCCTTTTTCACTTGCTTTGTCATTTTTATCTTTTCATTTGTTTTTGCCTTCCTTGGTAATGGATTATTATGAACTGGGGGTGGGGCATCCCTCAGCCTGCCTGTACCCCTCTGACTGCCTCTCACAATCCAGGACTGCTGGCTCCTAACCACTTGCCGCCTGCCTACCTGATCTCCCCTAACTGCTCCCCTGCTGGCCTGATTGCCCCTAACCACCTCTGCCTCACCCCGCACCCAGAACCCATGATTCCCTCCTCTGGCCAGTTGCAGGCACCCAGGACCCGGGTTTCCTTCCCTCTGCCTGGCCACAGGCACCCAGGTTCCAGGGCCAGCTTTGCCAAGGCTGCTGTAGCCATAGGGCACCATAGGCGGGCGGCTTTGCCTGGGCCACAGCTGCAGGCACCCGGGACCACGGATGGATGGCTTGTCCCTCTGCAGGGCTGCGGGTGCTGGCGCTAGGGATGGTGGGGCAGGCGGCTTGTCCTTATCCTGGCCACAGGCACAGGTGCAGCCACTGGTGCCCAGCACCACAGGGACTGGGGTGTGAGGATTGTCCTTCTCTCAGGCCACAGGCTCAAGTGCAGCCGCTGGTGCCCAGGACCTCTCCTGGGCCGCAGTCTGGCTGGTCCTCATTCCTCTCGCCTCAGTGTTGAGTCTCTGAGCAGCATGGTGGCGTGATGACCATGACATAGTAGCTCTTTATTATATAGGATAATACATAGACTTCATTATATTTGAAAAGTTTATAATTCGTTTACATTTGCTGTGCTGCTACATGGCAGAAACACAAGGGGGGCTGTATGTTATTCTAAACAAGCTTACAGATGTAATTAATGGTTTGTCCTTGTTTCTGTAAAATAAAGGGCATAGAAGTGTTTGGGGAGAGAGATTCCTGCAGAGTAAGTGGTTGTGGTAATGAGTACAGACAACTGATCACACTTAATTATATTTGGTATATATTCCAGGACTCTCATCAGATGCCACCGTTTTGACACCAAATACAGAAAGCAGTTGTGACTTAATGACCAAAACCAAATCGACGAGTGGAAATGATGACAGCACGTCCTTGGATCTGGAGTGGGAAGATGAGGAAGGTATCTGACATTCACCATTTACCTGACATGTACAGTTCAATCTGTTAGTTTATAGAAATCAACTTGGTATTTTACTTTTACTTTTAATTTGAATTATTTTTTATTGAAAGTATTACATGTCTCCTTTTTCCCCAATTGACCTCTCCCCAGCTGCTTCCCCTCCCCAGCACATGTCCCCGCTCCTCACTGTCTGTGTCCTTTGGTTTTACTTCTATGCATGCATACAAGTCCTTTGGTTGATCTCATACCTTCGCCTTCCCTCCCTGGCTTGATGGATGCTTCTGTGTCTCACCAGATTGGGCAAGTTTTCTGTTTCTGTTTCTTGAAACAGATTATCTGTTCCTTGCTCATCTTCTTCCCTTTCCTGTGTTCCTGTAATTCTAGTGTTGTTACATTTCATGTTGTCCCAGAGCTTTCTTAAGCTAACCTTTCTGCTTTTTAATTATTTTTTCTATTTGCTGCTCTAATCTTTAAAATCTCTGATTCGGTCCTCAGCTTCATCCAGTTCTACTTTTAATTCCTTCCAGTGTGTTCTTCATGTCAGATACTGTTATTTCCCGGCAAATAAGATGACCCCCTAATTTTACAGTTGAAACAGGTTTAGGCCTTTATTCGCCGTATAAGACTACCCCCCACTTCAAAGAAAAGACTTACTTTACCGTCAAGATCTGCAGGTAATTATTGTGCAATTTTGGTCTTTTGCCCCCGATTTTCGGTTGACTTTTTTCCCGCTTCAAAAGTCGTCTTATACGCCAGAAAATACGGGTATATCATTCTGCATTTCTGTCTGGTTCCTGTTAATGGCCTCTATTTCCCTTCTCTTGTGTTGTAATTTGCACTAAGTTCCTTAAGCACCTTTATGATCATTGCTTGTCTCCGTCTCACTGAGTTCTTTTCCTGAAGTCATTCTTTTCTCTCATTTAGAAGCTGTTTCTTTGTGTCCCAATTTTAGTCTCTCTCTGTTTGCTTCTATGTATTAGATAGGACTGCTATGCCTCCCCATCTTAGTGGGATGGCCTAATGTAGAAAGTGTCACCACTTTGAGGGATCAAGTGGTGCAGTCTCTTCATTTCCCTGAGCTGGATGCTCTAAGAATGCCCTTGTGTGCTGTTTGGGCTCCCCTGTTGTAATTGGGACTTGACTGTTGATGTCCCAGGTGTGGGAGGGATCCCCCCTCCAACTTGTTGCCAGTGAGGTTCAACCCCAATGTCATCGTGCCAGCTGTCCAGTGGTCGGGGCTCCTTACCTCAGGCTGGTTCTGCCTTGACTATCTTGATTGACATTGTTCTGGGTTCCTTCTCCCACACAGCTACTCCCACAGGTGTCAGCTGCAGGCACTTGGGCTCTTTTTCTTTTTGGTTAATCCTCACTCGAGGATGTTTTTCCACTGATTTTGTTAGAGAGAGTGAAAGAGAGAGAAACATCGATGTGAGAGAAACACATCAATTGGTTGGCTCTTGCATATACCCTGGCCAGAGCCCAGGCCCAGGGAGGAGCCTGCAACTAAGGTACATGCTCACGACTGGAATCTAACTCAGGGCCCTTCAGTCCACAGGCTGACTCTCTATCCACTGAGCCAAAACCGGCTAGGGCTTAAATATTAATTTTTCAATCTAAGGGTTTTGTAATCCTTCCCATTGATCCTCAGTCAGAAGATTTGCTGCCCCCTTGTGGGCAACCAAGCCAACAGTTAATTATCTTGGTTCATGATCAAGAGCAGGTTGTAGTTCTCTGGTATAAAAGTTGTGACTTTTATACCAGGAGAACTACAACTTTGATTTTAGCTGCATGGCTTCCTCGCTGTGGTGCTTTAGGCAGATTTCTCAGTCTCTCCGAGCTGCGGTTTGTTTACCTAAAGGGGAGTAATAAATCCACTTCAAAGAGTGATTTATTCCCTGCTTTGTCCTCACTACCTGGCAATAATAGGCAGCTGATAAATATTTGGGGGGAAAAAAGAAGGTATTGTTGCTGTGAAGATTAAATAAAATTTTTATAAAACACCCAGTACAGGGTGTTGCAAATAGTAAATACTCAAAATTAGAGCTAAATGTGGATTTGTTTTAAAAAGGGCTATTTCACTGCATAGAGCCCAAGGTTTCATTTTCATTTAAAGAAATAATCCAAACAGAAGAACCAATTATAGAACATAGGACTTTAAGAAAAATAATAAACATTAAATTCTTCAAAAGGTTTTGAGAAGGAGTGGACTTTAGATATCTTCCCATCAAAGCCTTTTGTTTTATTATAATAATAAAGAAACAGATATGTCAGCACTCAAATAATTTTACCAAGGATTGCTTCTTCTCAGCTAAGTACTGTTTCCCTGTTCCTGTACTGAGGTTATTGCATATTTGAATTCCAATCAGCAAACTTTATTTTTTTATTTTAGCATCTTGTTCAATCTGACCCAGAGCCTTTCAGTTATTTTAATTCCTATTCTGTCATCCATGCTGTGTGCTAATCAGATTTGTAGGTGACATGACTTTGGAGGTTGTTACTCAGGTCATAGATTATTAATCATGTAGAGGTCAGGCAGAGCCCACTAGGAGCCTGCTTGTTCACCCCAGCTTCCTCTGGCCAGTGCCACCCCATGGAATCCAAACCCTCAGAGTCCTGTTAGCATCATCTCTGGTTTGGGTCTGGTCTGTAGAAATGACTTGCTCTGCTATGTTGAGCCTTTGTGATTTTTTATGAGTGGCAGACAACAGTGATATACATCTATTATATATTTAAATGCTCTTCTGTTACCGTAGGGTTTGGTTTGCTACGGTCAGAAAACAAAATTATTGAATGTGTCTAGGGGAATTTTCTAGTCCTAGATGTTAATTCTTTTTAAGTATGTTGGTGCTACACTTACAAATTTGAATTTCTGTCTTCCCTCCCTCCCTTCTGCCAATAAAGTTACATTGTTTTTCTCCTAAGAATATGGGACTTTCCGTTTACTGGCCAGTTTCTTTCTGTTCAGAATGAGGTGTAGTCCCTGGCCCGCCTCTGCTCGGTTGTGTGGCAGAGCCGGGAGCCCGGCTTGGAGCCCTGACACAGGCCCCCATCTTCCTGCCAAGTTCCCAGCTGTGAACAGAGCAGGGGGGTGCCGTGTGCAACACACGTGTGTAAATACACGTGAACATTAATGGGAAGCAGGCAGTGCTGGGCCAGGATGTTGTCATTATCCTTGGAGCCACTGTTCCCTCCGGGAAAGGAAGTTATCGCCTGGGGAGGAGAGGATTGGCAGGTGCACGGATTATATGACTAATGACCATTGAGGTCCCCCGTTCCTTCTGTATGATTTATGGCTCCTCAGACGTTCATCTCCTCAGCGCCAGCTGCCCTGGTGAGTGAGTGCCTTTCTGTAAGGCGCTCTCCAGGGTGAGCCTCCATGGTGCTGGCTCTTCACCTCACAGGTCAGGTCTGAGTGTTCAATACAAACTAGACTGTTACCCTGGGAAGCCTTTTCACGTAGCTTTTTCATCTTCGCTGAGATGTTTAATCATCTTGGCCCATCCCAGGCATGACTCGGACGCTCCCGGTGCGAGAGCGCTCTCGGACGGAGGAGGACATCCTGCGGGCGGCGCTCAGAGGTGGCCGGAGGCCCGGAAGCCACACTGCGTCCGCCTCCGATGACTCCAACGGGCTGGAGTGGGAGAGCGACTTCGTGAGCGCCGACGTGGATGACAACGGCAACTCCGAGTTCTCCGGCTTCGTGAACCCCGTGCTGGACCTGTCGGAGCCTGGTGGGAAGCCGGTGGGCGGAGAGCCACAGATGCGAGGGGGTCAGGTCTTGTGACCCTGCTTGGCGGGGGGACCCCGTGCTAACCCAGCGAGAAGGTATAAATCCTGCTGAGCCTTTCCACTGGAGGTGGGAGCCGCGTGGACGTGCTATCAGGAAGGACCAGGTGGTGGCTGTATCTGAATTGCTTCAGAATAAGTGCAATTTCATCATCTACCTTCGCTTTTCAAACAAGTTCATGGTCTGTCATAGTATCAATTACCTTCCTGTTTGCAATTTGTAGGTGTTCTTTTTAGAATAACTTCGTTGGTTTTACTTAGTATGTTTGCAGAACCTTATTTCAGTGTCTGACTGAGAGTACTAAGGCTTTTGGTGTTATGTTCAGCAGACAGGAGGGAGCAGAGGACGGAGCATCCAGCTCAGACTCAGAATAACGGGCCCACTCCGCATGTCTGTCCCATAGCCCACACTCACCACCAGTCGTAGCAGTTACTCTAGGAGGTGACTCAGAATGCTCACGTGTCATTCTCTGTCTACCCTGACTACATATAGGACACTGTGAATCAGTCTGAAACAAAGGGAATGACATGACAAAGGAAGCTTCCAGAGTTTGGACACTTGAAATTGGTCAAGAGTAATTGAAGAAAATAAACGTCCACTTCCTTTTACATGCGCTATAAATGAATTTTGACTTTAATTGATATATTAAATTTCTAGACATCTTTTTTTTTTTTTTTTTTTTTTTTTCTAGTGACTGGCCTTAGAAAGATTTTCTCTGTGCATCAGTTAGTAAGAAAGGAAAACCTAACAAGGAAATACGGGTATTTCAAAGTAAGTAAATCCTTTCTGTGTGGAAGGATCTGCTGCTTCCATTAAGTTTCCTTTGCCTTGTGTTACAAGGTGCACTAATGGGGTAGAATTATGTGGATCAGCAAATACAGCCACTTTGTGTGGTAGGCAGTGAGCTCTTTTCTCTAAGGGTTAGGCATCAACTTAAAAGGCCGAGGAGAGTCCTAGTGGCTTGTCTCAGTTTTGCTGAGGCATCTGACATGATTCTAGTCAGCAAACTTGATTTTTTTTCCTAGTGCTTTTGCTTTTTCTTGTGACAATGACAGTGCATGTTCTCAAAGCTATAGGAAGGTCCAGGTGTGAATAGTAACTCAGATTCTCGCTGCACCTAAAGCATCACATGGCCCCTCAGTGTCCGAGCTGCTCTGCAACGGCAGCTACGGCACCACCTTTAGCTCAGATCTCAGCGCGACCCTGACCGTGTAAACAGGTCCGGCCACCTCCTCTTTATGTCTGGTCACTGACTCACGTTGGGCGGTATTGTAAAGGTGATCTATGTTCACGCTGCCAGTTACGTTTTCTGAAGTTTATATATATATCGGATGTATATTGGTTTGGCATAAGCTACTATTGTAATTTTTTTGACATTTTGTTCATAAAGAATTTTTTGAAGGGATGGCAGCTTGTTGAGGATTGTGAATAAACACATTTTTACATTTAAAAAAACTAATTTTTAAAAATGACTGTATTCCATAAACATACAATAATTCTTTATTTTATTCTTTTTTTAATTGTTTAAGGTATTACAAATAGTAGCACATTTGTCTCCTAACTTTATTAAACCTGCTATGAAGATAAAAGGGAGTAAATTAAGAAAACAGGCTGGAACTACACTTGAAATGTTTGTTTTAGCTGCTATGAAAGGGATATTCAAATTTTGTTGTTGTTGTTAATCCTCACCTGAGAATATTTTTCCAATGATTTTTTAGAGTGAGTGGAACAGAGAGAGAGAGAGTCAGAGAGAGACACACATCGATTGGTTGCCTCCCACACGTGCTCTTGACTGGAATTGAACCCAAGACCCTTCAGTCTGTAGGCCAACACTCTGAGTCCAACGTGCTAGGACTAACTTCTTTATATGCTTATTTAAAACACTGGAAATAACTGGTTTATTCAGCAAACATCGGAGAATCTGCTGTGTCTGGCAGGGAGTTTGGGGACTCACAGGGAAAAGTTCCTGCTGTTTTGTTTACCTTGTGGCAAGAGAGACAGATTAATAAGCAACGGGAAATCGCAGCTGACAGCAGGAGACACACAGAGGACAGGCAGCAAGGGGCTGGGTGTCACCGATCTGAGGCCTCTGTGAGGAGACAGGCCAGCTAGGGTCGAGGCCTGAGAAGTGTGTGATAAGCAAAGGGAACCGCATGTGCAAGGTGAGGTGGGAGGGAGTTTGTATGTTCTGAGCATAAAAGACCACTTGGACTCAAGCATTATGGGGGCCAGTTATGTGAGGCCTATAGGCACTGGAGAAGGGTGAGTTTTAAAGAAACTAAACATTTTATCCTATCTAATAAGTATAACATGCAAATTAACCATCACTCTGTTACACCCACAAGTCACGCCCACCAGCCCATCAGGAGTGAGTATGCAAATTAACCCAACCAAGATGACTATGGCCACGGAGTGAGCAGGAGGTTTGGGTTTCCCTGGCAATGGAGGAAGACAAGCTTTCCGCCTGCCCCCGCTGGCCCAGGCCTCTGCTCAAGGCTACAAAGTTTCAATTATAGAAGATAAGTAAATCCCAACAAAAACGGCTGCAGCCGCGGAGCAATCAGGCCCTTGGCTCCACTCAAGGCTACAAAGTTTCAATTGTAGAAGATAAATAAATCCCAGATACCAGGGCCTCCGCTTGGGTCACCGGAGGGCATGGATGGCCGGCCTGCAAACACCATAGGCCCCTTGCCCAGGCCACCCCACGCTCCAAGGTGACCCCCCTACCCTGATCCGGGACACCCTTCAAGGGCAAGCCAGCTGGCCCCCACCTGTGCACTAGACCTCTATCTTATCTAATTCTATCTAATAAAAGAATATGCAAATTGACCATCACTCCAGCACATAAGATGACTGCCCCTATCTGGACAGAAGATGGCCGCCACAAGATGGCCAGCAGGGGAGGGCAGTTGGGAAGGTTCAGGCCTGCAAGGGAAGGCAGTTGGGGGTGATCAAGCCTGCAGGGGAGAGCAGGTGGGGGAAACCAGGCCTGCAGGAGAGGGTAGTTAGGGGTGACCAGGCTGGCAGGGAAGAGCAGTAGGGGAGACCCAGGCCTGCAGGGGTGACTAGGCTGGCAGGGGAGGGCAGTTGGGCATCAATCAGGCTGGCAGACAAAAGTGGTTAGGGGCAACCAGGCAGGCAGGCAGGTTGAGAGGGAACCCCTTGTGGGATGAGGTGGGGCCGGGGCGGGAACAGCTGTGGAACGCAGAGCAGGCATTTCAGAAGTGGCACCAACAAGGCCTTTTGGGTAAGACATGGGGTAGGAGAGGGATCAGAGACAGCTTAGCTGCAACACCTCCTGTCAAACACCTCGTGCAGCAGGCAGTCTCGAAGGAGAGCTGACTGGCAGAGGGCAGGCTGCTGGCCCCTGGGAGGTCGGGTTCTCTGATGGATGCTGGCCCGTGGCCCTGAGTCGGCATGCGGAGTGAGGAGGCGGGGAGAATGGCTAAGCCACACTCGGGCAGAGCTGCATGTCTGAGTGCACAGCCTCGGGCTCGGCTGCACTAGTCCTGTCCTTAGTTTCCAAGAAAATGGTTAGAGAATTAAAGTTAGATTTTATTAGTTGCACTGGTGCTGTTAACATTTGGAATTCGTGGAATTAAACATTTTAATAGGACATAAAAATCAGTTTAAAATTAGGTAAGAAAACATACTTGTGCATGTAACACAGTGGTTCATTAAAATGTTTTAAGTACTGATTATAGACAAGAACTTTATTCTTGAGAACTCTAAGACATATTAAAGCCACAGCGATGCGCAGACACTACCACACGCTCCCACCATGCCTGTGCCCAGCGACCCGCAGGCTGCGTGCAACACCAGCAGCGATCACAACATCCTCCTGTAGCTTTGGCCTTAAAACCAACAGCTGCTGTGAGATAACGTTCCCAAGAGATGGTTCTTACAAAGCAAAGCACCGGACTAACATGAGTTGTAAAGAGAAAACACTGCCACCCTATTGGTCATCACAACACACCGTGTGCACTAACCCTCAGTCCATCCAGTAAGCGCCAGGCGACCAGGTCGGTGCCTCCCACGAGGGTCAGGCTCCGGGCATCAGCAGGAGGCCGCCAGGCGCAGGCAGCGCTCCCGCCTCTGGTCTCGCTAATACTCGTTCTCATCCATTTCCGTGGGACAAGCGCTCAGGCAGGTGCTCTGGGCGGACCAGCAGAGCTCAGGGGTGGGCTTGCCTGCGGGCCAGCCCTGTTCCTGCAGGAGGGGTCTGGGAGACATCGTGAAGAGAGTCTCGAAAAACTCCAGGGACTCCCCGTCTTGCTTCTCCACCAGCAGCTGGTACTCGCCAAAGCGGACCACGCACCTGGAGGGCAGCTCCACCTTGTTGAGGTAGCCCAGCTCCATGCCGCCCACCAGCAGGCCGGTCCTCCTGCTCATGTTCTTAATTTCTAGAGAGAGGACGGAGCTGTCGAACTTTTTAAACAGCTGCAGTGAGAACTGAACTCGGGAAACCTGCTTGTCCTGAAAAGTATAGTGACAAACGGTGGAATTTCGGCCGAATTTCACCACTTCGCTGGATGGGAGCTTCTCCGGGTTAGAAAACCTTATCGATTGGAATATCCCACCTTGCATCTGGCCAGGATGGTAAATGGTGACCCGCAGACTCGTCACTGTCTCTTCCGTGTCCGCGTCTTCGAAACTGGACATGGCGGCGGCACCGGTCTGCAAGTTAGTTCACGTCCCCCTCTGGGTCCTGAGACCTTTTCTTAAATAAATAAATAAATAAATAAATAAATAAATAAATAAATAAATAAATAAGTGTGTGTGTGTGTGTGTGTGTGTGTATATATATATATATATATATATATATATTTTTTTTTTTTTTAAACTTGAGAGAGAGAGGTAGAAACATCAGTGATGAGAGAATCATTGGTCAGCTGCCATCCCCACATTGGGGATGGCAACCCAGGGTGTGCCCTGACCGGGAACTGAATCATGACCACCTGGTTCACAGGTCAATGCTCCACCACTGAGCCATGCCAGCAGGGCGAGGCAATGAGATCCTGATTCTCATGTTTGATAAAAATCTTCTGATAGGTCATTTAGATTTTAAGTTAAGAAAACAATACATAGAATCATTTCAATCAGATGTGAAACTGTATTCCAGCTCTGTAAATTGGTGTTACCCTTTCCTAAATCCTTATTTTTCATTTCTAGTTTGATGAGACCATACATGTAATCCAACAACAAAAGAAATAATTGTTGATAATATGGTGGTTTGTGGGGGCATAACGGCACCTGTTTCCTTCTCATTTAAATGGAGCTGCTGGGCCCAGGCACTAGGGCAGCTGTGCGTGAAAGGGCATCGGGAACCAAGGGTCTTCCCTTCGGTCTGTGTCCTCAGAGGACGCACATATAAAAGCTATCCTTTATTTACTGTTAAAATTAGATGTGACTTGTGAAGCCTGATTGAAGGAAGATTAAAAAGTCGTAATTGCAACAGTTACCTTGATCATTTGTACTTCTAGCAGGTAAATGGTTCAAGATAGTAAGTTATTTTACTCTTACTGTTTTAAATAAATGTAGACATCACATAACTTTAAAAAGTCACTCTGACGTAGTTCTGAACAGTCGCTACTCCACGCGAGTTGTTTGTTTTGTCAGGACCCCAACGGCTGGACAGCTGTCAGGAACCACGGGCGTCGCCCGGTGCTGTGACCACTGGGCCACACCTGCGCCCGGCCCCTCCCTGCGGGACAGCATCAGGGGGAGTGTATCACAGGGCAGGAGAGTTGCTACCCAAACCCCTGGAGGTTATTTTGAAATGCCGTTTTAAAACTTGAAAAAGGGTTACATGCACATGATTTCAAAATTCAAACAGTAAAGGCTTTTTAAAAAAGAATCTTCCCTCCACCCTCATCCTGTTTCCTCTTCTAGAATCGGCAGCTGTGAAGTTGCTTTTACCCTTACAAAAATCCTTTACACAACCATACGAGGCCTTGCATTTTTCAATCAATAATACAGAGGGATGTTTTTCCCATCCTACACGTCAGTGCAGCGCATTCTTCAGCAGCAGCATCGGCTCCTCTGAGTCAGAGCTGGGAAGCCCCTGGAGCGGGCTCGCTGCCTGCCTCCTTCACGCCCTGGTCTGGGCTGCAGCTCTGCCTTACGGGAGGCTGGTGTGTGTCCGCCACCTGTGTTAATGTTAACATCAGAACTGGTTTAAAAAGACAATGCTTTCGTTCCTTTCTATGGCTCCTAGTACTGTAACAGACCAAGGTTCTGTTTGTTTCACCAAGTTCTGCTGCTAAAAATCAAATTGTCAACTTACTCGACAAATGACATAGCTAAGCAGATTTCATTTTTATTCATTTGGAATTATGTTATCTAACTTTACTTTTGTAACCAATTCTTCATGCAGATTTTTACGACGGAGACATTTTAAAATGGTAAGAGTAAAATAAGCTTTTAAATAACTTGCTGTCTTGAACCATTTACCTGCTAGAAGTACACATACATTACCTGCCAGGAGACACATACATTAGCTGGAAACAGGAAAAGTGAAAGGAACCCTTAAGATCACGGGCCCATGTGGTAAAAATTACAATGAAATCAAAGCCAGCGAGAACCAGCCCACAGCGCTGTCGGTGAACCCACCCTCGGCTGTGATTTGAAGACACTGAGTTGTGACACTGGCAGAGCAGGAAGGCGTGTGCCTGAGAATCAGCCGGACATCGGCTGGAACCTGGCACCGGGAGGGACCTGCTGGGTCCGCTCCCGGGTGTGAGGACCTGGTTCCTACTCGCTAGAGATGGGGCAGGTTGTTAGGTAATCATGGTCTCTGATCTCAACCCAGAGTCACCCAGGACAGCGGGCACCCAGGGGGCCATGCGTGCCAGCAGTTCCCATGCTTTCAACGTGGCCTTCCAGGTAGCCTGCGCTCTGCCATTTCAGGTGTCAGTGGAAAAAAGAGAAAAGACCGAAACTAGCCAAAAACCACCCTGAAAGTTAAAGTAGGTGGGTCTTTTCTTTAAAACACACACTAGCCCTAACGGTTATCTCAGTGGATAAAGAATAGGCCTGTGGACTGAAGAGTCCTGGGTTCGATTCTGGTCAAGGGCACATGCCCAGGTTGTGAGCTCATCCCCAGTGAGGGGCATGCAGGAGGCAGCCAGTCAATGATTCTCATCACTGATGTTTCTATCTTCCTCTTCTTCTCTGAAATCAATTAAAAATATCCTATATGGCCGAGACTGGTTTGGCTCAATGGATAGAGCGTCGGCTTGGGGACTGAAGGGACCCGGGTTCGATTCCGGTCAAGGGCATGTACCTTGGTTGCGGGCATATCCCCAGTAGGGGGTGTGCAAGAGGCAGCTGATCGATGACTCTCTCTCATCGATGTTTCTAACTCTCTATCTCTCTCATTTCCTCTCTGTACAAAATCAATAAAATATATTTAAATAAAAAAAAAAAAAAAAAAAAAAAAATATCCTATATGATAAAAGTCTAATATGCAAATTGTCCCCTCATCATTCGACCAGGAGTTCAACCACTATGATGTGCACTGACCACGAGGGGATGGCACAGAACATGGCAGGTGTTGGCAACACAGCGGATGGCAGCGGAGGTGTTGCTGGCCCCAATGAGCCCCAACGAGAGTGGGACCATGGCGGGATGTATGGGCAGGGGCCCAATCGCCCTGCCAATCACCCAGCAGACTGACCAGCGCTGCCGGGCTCCCAGACACTGAGGGACTCAGGCAGGGGCCCTGGCCCCAATCAATTGTCACAGGCGAATGGTGGAGCAGGTGAGGGGGTAGCACCAGGCCAAGGTGGGGTGCCAGGCAGGGCTGTAGGGGTGCGAGCTGGGGCCCCAATCCCCGAGGGACCCCACCCATACATGAATCCATGCATGGGGCCTCTAGTATTTAAAATAAATAAATAGCACACACTAGTGGGCAGGCGCTCAAAACAGCCTTTGTGCCATGTGCACTTAACATCTATTCAAGATTTCACAAATATTTTCTTTACAAAGTCACAAATCATCTGATTTTATGAAATTACATGAAGTTGGAGATAGCTAAGTATCATTCAAGTTGTAAACTGGTATTGGGTATGGGAAGGCTTGATACACAGGAATGATATCCCTCAGCAATGTCTGTGTCAGCAAATGAACTGGAGTAAATAGATGAACAGAAATAAGGAAGTGGGCAGGAGGCAGCTGATCCATAATTCTCATCATTGGCATCTCTATTCCTCTCCCTCTCCCTTCCTCTCTGCAATCAATAAAAATATCTTACCTACTAATAAACAAAAATGTAAATTGACCGTACCTTCGTTATCCCCATAGCCAATCAGTGATGGTGATTGGCTATGGGGATTGGCTATGGCTATTAAGCACCAAAAAAGATGGTGCTTAATTTGCATACATAGGCGCCCAGCACCTGTGTCCCGGGACCATCCTGGCACCCAGGTCACTGTGAGAGAAGGCCATGTGGGCCCACAGCAGCCTGGGCAGGGCCAACCTGCAAACAGAACGAGGGGGCAGGGGCGGAGCCTGTGTTCACAGGGAGCTGGGGGTCCCCTCCCCAGGCCTAAAGCTTGGCCAGGGCCCCGCCCGCGACTGGTGTGAGCTACAGAGGAAACGCCTTTTCTGACCGCTCATTGGCTGAGCTCCCTGCCTGCCACTGGTAATGTTCTTAGTAACTTGGGTGATAAGAATCCAAAAAGGTGATCTGGGTTTTCCACCACACTTCTGGAGAAAAAATGAAGACCCGCTGCTGGAGGGCTGAGCAATGCCATATCCTGCCCAGCTGGTTTGGCTCAGTGGGTAATGCCTCGGCCTGCCGACCGCAGGGTCCGGTTCGATTCTGATCAAGGGCAGGTACTAGGTTGCAGGCTCCTCCCTGGCCGGGGCCCAGATCAGGGCTCATGCAGGAGGCAACCAATCACAGTGTTCCTCTCACTGTGATGTTTCTGTCTTTCCTGTTCTTTCCCACATTCTCTAAAAGTCAATGCAAACGTATCCTCAAGTGAGGATTAAAAAAAAAGAAGAAAAAAAAAGACAGATGAAAGAAAAGAAAGAAAAGAAAAGAAAAGAAAAGAAAAAAAAGAAAGAGAGAGAGAGAGAGAGAGAGAGAGAGAGAGAGAGAGAGAGAAAGAAAGAAAGAAAGAAAGAAAGAAAGAAAGAAAGAAAGAAAGAAAGAAAGAAAGAAAGAAAGAAAGAAAGAAAGAAAGAAAGAAAGAAAGAAGTGCACATCCTATGAAGGACACATGTTGGAAATGCCTAAAGAAAGTTGTAGTTTTTCTTGCTGAAGGGACTGGAGTCCGTGTTGAACCCTCGGTGGCTGCGTGCCTGGCGGGGCAGCGGCAGCGGGGTGATGGGCTGGTGCCTCCCGCAGAGGGAGGCCAGGCTGCGGCCAGGACCGCCGCTGGGGCTCCGGTCTGCGAGGGGCGGGCTGGGCCGAGGGACCCCCCCCCCCCCGGTGCACCCCCCCCCCGGTGCACCCCCCCCCGGTGCACCCCCCCCCCCGGTGCACTCCCCCCCCCCCCCCGGTGCACCCCCAGGGCCCGGTTTACATGTCAAAGCGCGGCCTCCGCCCGAAAGCACCGCCGCGGCCTGGGCGCCGGGCGGGCAGGGCGGACCCGGCGGTGCAGGAGGCGGCCGCGGCCCGGGAGACGCTTCCCGTCCGAGGAGCCGGGCCGCTG